ATCCCTGCATTGGCAGGCGGACTCTCAACCACTGCGCCACCAGGGAAGCCCCTGTATCACCTATTTTTAAATCTTGGTTATTGTCTCACTCCCCAGCTGAAGCTGTAAGCTCCTTAAGGGCTGGGCTTTCTGTGGCTGTTCACTGCTGGATCCACCGGGCCCAGCACATGCCTGACAGAAGTGCTTGAGAAGTACTTTCTGAATGAATGAAATAGATGATATTATACCCGTGTTATGAATGAGGAAACTGAGGCTCAGGGAGAGGAAGTGGCTTGCCCAAGGTCACTTAGTTGCAGCCCAAAGATTTGAACTTGGGCCTCCGCCTGCTGCCCTCTGATGTTTCCCTGAGGCTGGGCGGGACTTGCAATGTCCTAGCTCATCCCCATTCTCACCCTGTGCCCCAAGGCTTCGAGTAGGCAATGCCCTCAGGCATGGAGACTTTTCTTGTAGGGTGGTTAAGGTCGACCATTGGCCGAGAACCTCCTCCCACGCCCATATTGAGAGGTGGCCCTTTCTCAGGCCACCTGGGTTTCTAATCCCAGTTCCACCTCCTACTTGCCCAGTTACCTGGAAAAGTGGCTTCACGACTATATGCCTCTGTTTTCTCATCCGTAAACTGGGGATAATCACAGTTCCCATCTCATGAGCTGTAATGAGACAGGACACGCAGACTCTTCCCACAGCCCCCAGAGTCTTCGCTTGTCTTTTAGGTGTTGTTTTGCCCTCTTCTGATATTGGAGAGGGAGATGAACCTTCTGATCTCCTGTGTGCCCGTCACCAGGTGCAGATCTAATATAAATGCTTTACTCTCCTTCAGCCCTGCGGACTGGGCAGAGCTGACAGGGCTGAGTCCTGCCCTGAGGTGGCCACTGTGACTTGGGACTCAGACTGTCCCATCCCTTCAACCTTCCTCCTCGAGCCTCTGCTCCAAGGCCTCCTTCAGGATACCCCGCCCATACCCCACTGGCAGGATCTGGCACTGAGTTCAGTCACACGCCTTTGGGATTCAGGCCCTGGCTCTGCCACTGAGGCTGGGTGCCCTTGAACAAGGCATAGCCCCCTCTGAGCCTCAGCTTCCTCATCTGTAAAGTGGGGGGTGGGGCATGATATCCACTTGGAAGACTCAGTGAGCTCACATGCACTGTGTACCCAGCCCAGGGCCTGGCCCACAGCAGCCCTCTGAACCTCAGTCTGCTCTCTCCCCCTTCTGCAGAAGGAGAGGATCCGGGAGAAGTTCGTGGAAGCCCTGAAAACAGAGTTTGCCGGCAAAGGACTGAGGTTCTCCCGAGGTACGTCAACCCCTTGGAGGGCCTGAAAGGTCTGGTACATGAGCCCACCCCAGGGCCTCACTCCCAAGGCCAGGCTGCACCCCCCAGCATCTTTAGAAACCCCTCCCAGCCCTCCGAGCACAGCAAGGGCAAGCTGAGCCAAAACAGGCAGGAACTCCAGCCCCCGAGGCTTCCCCACCTAAACCCAGGCAACCCACACCTCCCACCCAGTTGCTCAGATCAAAAACCAAAGCGTCTCCCACCACCACCTCCCGCTACAGTCCATCCCCTACAGTGGCCAGAGGGATCCTTAAGGAAAAACAGACCCTGTCATACCCCTGCTTAGAGCCCTTCAGAGGCTTCTCCTCACTCCTCATGAAACCCAGGCCCCCTCCCTGCACCCCAGGGCCTGCATGCCTGTGCCGCTGTCCTTTCCCAGCTTTCTGTGTCACTGGGACACTCCACGCCGTTTCCTGCCTTGGGGATTGTATCATTCCCTGGCAACTGCCACTCTGGCTCAGGTCTCAGCTCAATGTCACCTTCTTGGACAGCTCTCCCCTGATCACACCGTCTGGGGAGCTTCCCTCCCCCGCACCCTGCCCCCTTCATTGACTTACATGATCTGAAAGGTGGTCTGGTCACTTACCACCCATTTCTCCCACCTGGATTGTAACTCCCGTGAGGATCCTGAGTCTGTCCATGCCTTGTGCCTGGTGCTCAGTAGGCACTCTAGGGTTGTTGAATGAATGAATGAATGAACGAAGGGCCTTGCCCAAGGTCCCCGTGAGCCGCCCCTCTGCTAGCCTCATCTGCCGCCCTCACTCCCACCCCCACAGGAGGCATGATCAGTTTTGACGTCTTCCCTGAGGGCTGGGACAAGCGCTACTGCCTGGACAGCCTGGACCAGGACTGCTTCGACACCATCCACTTCTTTGGGAACGAGACCAGCCCCGTAAGTGTGGCTCAGGCTCAGCCCAGGTCCCCCCATCCCAAGTCCCCTCCAGATCGAGGCCAGGACACGGGGTGACAGAACAGACCTCCTGGGAAACTCCCAGAGAACAGCCAGTGCTCACCAGCCCCAATACACAGATTGGAAGGCTGGGACCCAGAGCTGGCTGGACACTTGCCCCATGTCACACAGCAAGTCAGGGCAGATCTGATGAAGGAGGTGGGCCTCCTGGCGGTTCTGAGGCAGCAGGAGGAGGGGCAGCTGTGTAGGAGCCAGTGTGGGGAGGGGACCCCATGCCAGAGTGGGTGTTGGGCTCCAAACCTGGGAACCTCCTCCAGGCACCACATGCGTACATATGCCTTCACTGCCCTTCCTCTGTGTGCAGGGTGGGAACGACTTTGAGATCTACACAGACCCCCGGACTGTTGGCCACAGTGTGGTGTCCCCGCAGGACACGGTGCAGCGATGCCGTGAGATCTTTTTCCCAGAGACAGTCCACGAGGCGTGACCAGGGCCCACACCTGCCCCTTGGGACTTCCAGAGAGCTCTGCCCAGCCCTAAGAGAGCCCCTGGCCCTGGTGTTGGGGGGCGCCAGGTCCCCTCCTCTGGCCCAGGACACCTGCCTCACATTACCTGCCGAAGCGGGCCCAGGGTCTGTGTGGACAGCCACCCCCAGCTGGTCAGCTCTTGGTGGGCCTGGCTCCCGTCCTCCAGCCCAATGGCCCTGGCTGCAGCTGCTGCTCGTACTTCTGGACAGAACAGGTTTCCATCCACGCGGGAAGCGAGTGCAAGTGTTGGTACGAGAGAGAGCCAGCGCTGCTTCCCTGCCCTAGATGGGGCACAGAGCAGCGGGGAAGGTGCACACTTGTGAGAAGTCGATCTCACACATACTAAACTTCGTGGAATGAGGTGTGGAGTCTGAATGGCTATTTGGCCCCAGTCACAGACGCTGTTACAGCCCTGCCTTTGCAGATGCGAAAACAGGCACAGATGGCAGGGACTTGCCCCAGGTCACACAGGGAATCTGATGCAGTCGAGGAGGGTGGGCCACTGAAGCCCCAAACAAGGGCTGTTTGGGGTGTCCTCCCCCAGCCCCTTCCCCTGGGACCCAGACAGAAAGGCAGCTGTGGGCCAGGCTGAGTCACAGTTGAGGGTTTATTGCCAGTGTGAGGAAGGATGGGGGAGTCCAGGTGGCTGGGGGTCTCAGGAGGCTGGACTGGACACTGTGGGGCGGCCCTAGGGCTGACGTTACCACAGCCTGCTTCCTGGTTGGTGCCTAAAGCGGGGGCCTACTCCTGGTGTGTGTGGGGGGAGGGTGTCTTGGGGGTTCCCAAGAGTTAACCTTCCGCCAAGGAAGCCAGGGAGCCTTGTTCCTCAGGGGAAAGGCCTCAGGCCTTGCTAGAGTAGCCCCAGCTCAACGTGGGGGTCAGGCTGGGCCATTCTGAGTTTTAGGGGGCTGGCCAGTACATCTTAACAGCTCTGGTCTTCCAGCCTCTGTGCTGGGGACAGGGGTGAGATACACATACCTCAGCTGGTGTCTCCCCTGGGACCTTGGGGCACCTACAGGGCTGGAGATCCCCCTAGACAGTCACTGACCCCCACATCCTAGGCATCTGTTTTACTCAGACTGGGTTCCATAAGGATCACTCCCTGGCAGGTCCTCCCTTGAACCCCATTTCTTCCCGCATCAGGTGATGTGTTCTCTGGAGGGGAGTGTGGTGGGAAGGTGGGGCGATGGAGGTAGACCCCCTCCTTCCTGACCTCCCAGCCCAGGCCAATCCCCTGCCCAGGAGTGATGCAGACGAACACATCCTGGCCCAAAAGGAAGAGGGCTGCCCCACGTCGTGAGGGGTGGACAAGACGGACCACACCTCAGCCACTGGCCTGTTGGTGGCCAGTGGGAGCCACTATCCCATGGCTTTGGGAAGAGGGTCCAGCGAGGGGGGCTGCAGGGCTGGTGGTCTCCCAGGCTGAGAGCTATTCTGGTGGCTGGCTCGCCTGAGGGCATGTGTGTTCATCCATCGCTGGGTCCTCAGCGGCCATGATGGCTGGGCACGGGCAGAGCATCAGTGGGGTTTGTGAGTCAGGGCAAAGGGGATGGCTCCATCCAAGCCAGGGGAGCCGTGCTCCCACCCCTCTGCAGACCTTTGCCTCCCCGGGGGGGAGTCGAGGCAGCAAGGCTCAGCGAGGCCCAGGGAAGTGGACACAGCCTCAGTCTGGGGTTCCCAAAGCCACTGCCAGGCTGAGGAGGAGGGGCTGGCCAGCCAAACAGGAGCCCCTAAAACTGCCTTCTGCCCCCAGGCCCCTCTTTCCTGCCTCAAGTGTGCTGAGAGAGCAGGAAGGAGGGAAGGCTGGGCCTTGGCCATGGGGGGCACAAGGGCGTGGCCTTTCTGCCCCCAGGTTTCACTCTCTTCCCCAGCAAGAGGCCGGGAGGCTCCCCCAAAGCACTCAGTGACCTGGCTTCTGAGGGGAGGGGTCCAGGTCACAGTGGGAGACCCCAGCCCAGGGGGAGGGGTGTGTGTGTGAGTAGCACAAGCAGAGTCTGGCCCCTGGGGCCAGGCCTGGAGCAGAGGCAAGGGGAGCAAGCTTGTACGGGGTCGGGGGGCAGGGCCCACTGCTGACCCGACTCCCAGCCCAGGCCTGACGCAGGCCCTCAGAGGCTCAGTGAACACGCACATGGGTGTTAGGAGGGCAAGAGGGTCCTGTGCGTGTGTGGCAGGGAGAGGAGGAAGGAGAGAGCGTGGAAAGCAGGGAAGGCAGGTCTGGTGGCCTCCCCCTCGGTGCAACTCACACAACAGTCACGGGGTAGATGGAGGCACACGCTCACGTCCACAAGCACAGACAGACAGACGTGCACACCGAGGCCGCCCGGGGGACTGGCTCAGCCAGTGCCGTGGGGCGTGGAGCTGGCTGCTGCCCATCTACCCTGTGTGGCTCCCCCCGCCGCCTGACGGCTGGCACAGGGGCCAGCAGCCTAGGAGCCCACGACCTGGCCGGACCACGTCTCGTGGGGAGTGTGTGGAGCCAGCTGGGTGAGCACCACCTCCACAGCTTGGAACTTCTGGTTCTTGGGCGGGATAGGGCACATCTTGTAGGTCACCTCGTCGCCTTCCACTGGCACGTACTCCCCCTCGATGCTGGTGGGGGGGAGGGGGTGTCAGCCCAGGAGCAGGCCCCCTCCCTGGATGCCCCCTGTGGTCTGGCCTGAGGGCAGCCTAGCCCTGGGCCTAGTTAGGCCAGGGAGCCTGAGCCAGCCTCCCTTCGCAGAGCCTCAGTTCTCTAATCTGTAAAATGGGAATCATAAACAGCCCCCTCGCTGTGCTACAAAGTGAGATGCAAAAGGGCTCAGGGAGGTTCCCAAGGCTTAGGGCTCAGTGACTCCACAGGTCACGCCTGGCATTAGGGCTGGGGACCAGGCCTAGACCACCTCGCACCTCCTAGCTTCCCTCCAGGCTGAGGGACCCAGTCCTCTCCGTCCCCGTGATGCGGAGACAGGATCCCAGGACTCAGGCAGTGGTTCCCAGGGCTTCTGGGGTCTGAGTGCCCCCTCTCCATCTGGCCCCAGCCCTCCTCCACCCATGCCCTATGAGAGGAGAAAGGTGCCAGGAGCACAGACTTGAGCCAGTGAGGGGAGAGGCCTAGGGAGCATTCTGGAGGCACTGCTAGGATACTGCAGCAGGGGCCCAGCCAACAACGGGGAAGGGGGAGGGACTCACTCAGACACATGCACGAAGATGTCCTCTGACCCGTTCTCCGGGGTGATGAAGCCGTGGCCCTGTGAGCGTGAGAACTGCTTACAGACACCCTTGAACACGGGGCCAGCCGAGGCACGGGCTGTCCTGAAGATAGGGTAGGGGTATTGGAACTGTGGGCTGGGGACCCCCTCCCTGGACCCCCACAGCTCTCCCGGGGCCTGTCTGCGGGGCCTGCCTCAGTGCTGTGGAGAACCCTCCCCAGGCCAGAAACCACCCATAGAGACTAGTTCAGTCCTTTCATCATCCCATTGGACAATGAGACTGAGGCCCAGAGAGGGAAACTGGCTCTCCCAGGGTGCACAGCAAGTGGATCTCCTGACTCCCAGCCAGTGCCCCTCTCACTGTACAAGACCCTCCCCTCCTGAGGTTACATGGATTCCTGTTGTAAGATTTCGAAGTGAAGAATGTACAGCCTAGGCTTGAATAACTCCCAGAACGAGGAGCTCACTATCTCCTGAAGCAGCAGTATCCATCCTGTTCACTTATTTGTCATTCGTCCATTCATTCATCATTTATTAAGCATCTGCTCTGTGCCTGGTCTTGGGTTGGACATGGGACAATCAGCGCTTGCCATCAAAAACCCCTCCTTTGACCAACCAAGTCAGCCTCCCTGTGGCTCCCACAAAACCCTTCCCCAATTTGACTCCACCCCGTGACCTACTCCAAAGACCTAGGGTTGGTCTCTGTCCAGCCTGCCCACCTCTCTCCAAAGGTCCACCCCATGCCTCTGCATTTGCCCAGAGGCTGTTTCAACCACCGGGAGCACCCAGCTTCCTGCTTCACCTGATAAATCTTCCAAACCCAGTTAGGACATCTTCCCTGATGCCCAACATTTGGTCCTCATGCCCAACCCAGCCAGGTGTAGTGAATGGTGGACAAATTCCCTCTGGATTGTAAGCACCTTGCAGGCTGAGACTTTGCCTTATTCATCACTGGATCCCCTGGTCGGGAGCTCAGTACAGCTTTGTGGAATGAATGAATGCTAGCAGTTACTGGAAGGTCCTTACACAGCTCCCCTGTCCTCGGGTGAGGACAACAGGGGATGGAGGAGGCTGGGAGCTGGGCAGTCCCGACCGGAGCCCTGTCCTGGGGAAGGACCACCAGAGCCTGGGTGAGGGGCAGGTACTCACGCTGAATACGTCCTGGTCCGTTTGGTGGGCAGTGGACTGGGCAGGTCCCGAGATGAGACACAGCCTCGCTCCCAGACCCTGCTGCCCTCCCGGTGGAATGGGAAGGTGGGCCAGACAGGGGACTTGGGGGAGTGGAGCCGGGGCACGACCGGGGGTGGCGTGGGCTCCGAAGTCATGGTGGAGCCAGTGGGAGAGCCTGGTGGGCTCCCAGGCGCAGGGGCCGGTGAAGGGCTTGGGCGTCCTTGTGGGCAGGGCCCGGCCTGGCCCTGCTCGGTGGACTCACCAGCCACAGGCTCCGTCTGGAAGGGGGAGAGAGAGGTACAGGTGAGTGTGGTCCAGGGTGGGCAGCTTCTGGACACAAGTCTGGAGGGCTGGGCCTGCCTGCTACTCCTGACAGAGTGAGTTCAGGCCAGTCACAGCCCCTGCCTGACTCAGTGTCCTCCCCAGAAAGACAAAATGGTCATACAACCTTGCTGTGGGCTGAACTGTGTTCCCCTAAAATTCACATGTTGAAATCCTAACCCCTCCAATGTGATAGTATTTGGAGATGGGGCATTTGGGAGGTAACTAGGTTTAGATGAGGTCAGGAGGGTGGGGCCCCCATGATGGGATTAGTGTCCTTAGAAGGACAGACACCCCCCCACCCAGAGCTTGCCTCCTTTCTCCCTGCCTTATGAGGACACAGCCAGAAGGGGGCGGTCTACAAGTTAGGACAAGAGCTCTCCCCAGACAGAGCCAGACCATGCTAGCACACTGATCTCGGACTTCTAGTCTCCAGAGCTGTAAGAAGTAAATGTCTTGTTTAAGCCCCCAGTCTGGGGTATTTTGTTAACGGTGATCCAAGCTGACTGAGACTAACCAAAAGTCCTTCCATCTTGAAGTTCAATTCTTTAACTTGGGGCCCTAAGAGGTGGGATGGGTAAAGTGGCCAATGATCCGGGACACAGTGTGGCACAACTACTAGCAGTTTCAAATCCACAGACCTGGGTCTGAATCTCAGCTTTGTCACCTGTAACTTGGTGACCTCAAGCAAGCCACCCAACAGTTGCAACATGGCAGGTGGGAATGTGGGTGAATGTGGACCCAAAAGGTCTGGGTTTGAATCCTGGCTCCTCTACCTACCAGCTGTGCAGCCTTGGTCAACACTCATAACCTTTGACTGGGTTTCCTGCTCTGTAAAATGGGGATAATGTTGGTTCTTATTTCACAGAGAGGTTGCTGTGAGGATTAAATGACTTTCTACATGCTTAGAACAGGACCAGGGCATGGTGAGCTCTTAGGAATGTTGGAGATTTTTCCTTAGCCCCAGGTTCCCTCTCTCTAAAATGAGGTTGAGAATGCTTACCATGCAAGGCTGCTGAGGTTTTTGGGTTTTGGTCACACCACACAGATTGTGGGATCTTAGTTCCCGGACCAGGGATTGAACCCAGGTCCACGCAGTGAAAACCCGTGTCCTAATCACTGGACCACCAGGGAATTCCCCTGGTTGCTGAGGATTCAATGATTTAGTGTGTGTGACAGCATCTGGCATCTTGTAGGTACCCAATAAATTGCTATTATCAGTGCTAATCAATAGAAATTCCCCTGTCAACAGCTCAGTGCCTGGGTGACCTTAAAAAAATTCATCCTATATTTTTCTCTGCAGAGGAAGAGAATGTAGTTCCCCCACCCATGCACTCACCCCCCTTCCCCTCCCCAGGGGCTGGAAAGTCTTGGGCTCAAAGAGACGCTAGCTGTTGACTGAGCCTGGGGCGGGCAGCCTGCCACAGTGGGGCCAGGCAGGACACCTGGACCAGGAGAGCTCCAGCTCTGCTGCGTGTTAGCCGTGGACTTGGGTAGCACTTCCACTGGCCTCAGCTTCCTCATCTGTATAATGGAGCTGATAAGCCCCGCCTCACTCCCTCACAGGCTATGGTGAGGCTTGGCTAAGGTGGGGGGTACAAAGAAGTGCCCATTGTCCATGGTCATATGAGAGTGAGGGTGACGAGTTCCCCACCTCCTCACCCCCATTCCTTCACTCCCCTCGACTTCACCCAAAGGCCTTGGGGCCAGAGGTGAATCCCTGAACTAAGTCTCTTTCTGGCCTCCATCTCCACCCTGCCCTGCCCCCCAGGGAAGAGTTTAGGACTCCTTAGGACTCCAGAGCCCTGCATGGACTAGAAGAGCCAAGGAGTCACCCCATTCAACCCCCGTCATTGGAGCAGGTCTCCTGGCCACTGTTCAAGATCACATAGCAAGTGGGACTTTTCTGGGTCAAGGTGATGAACTGACTGTGCCATCCCTGGGGGCGGAGATGCAGCCTCCCTCCTCCCCAGCAAGCACCCAACACATCCCTTCCAGCCAAAAGAACTGCCAGGGGTGAGGTGAGAATTACCCCTCACAGCCCCTCATGCTGACGTGCAGTTTTTCTCTCTGAGCCCACTTGAGGAGGCAGGGATGGGCCAGGTTTAGCATTTTTATCCCTATTTTATTTATTTATTTATATATTTATTGCCTGTGCCGCCCCGCGGCTTGTGGGATCTTAGTTCCCCAACCAGGGATCGAACCCGGGCCGTCGGCAGTGAAAGCGTGGAGTCCTAACCACTGGACTGCCAGGGAATTCCCATGTCCCCATTTTAGAGAGAAGAAAACTGAAGCAGTCACAGAAAAACTTGCACATGAATGTCCATGGCAGCATTACTCATAAAAGCCCCAAAGTGGAAACCACCCAAGGGTCCAACAACAGATAAATGGATAAACAAAATGTGGTTAAGCATAAAGTAGAGGAGTATTATTCAGCCATAAGTAGAGTATTATTCAGCCATAAGTAGAGTATTCTTCAGCCATAAGAAGAACTGAAGTATTGATAATGTTACATTACAGTTGAACCTTGAAGCCGTGAACCTTGAAATCATGATGCTGTGTGGAAGAAGCCAGTCACAAAAGACCATGGCTTACATGATTCCATGCATGTGAAACATCCAGAATAGGCAGACCCATAGAGACAGGAAGTAGATTAGTGGTTCCAGGTTTTGGGGAGGGGGAAGGAGAATGAGTAGTGACTGCTAATGGGTACAGGGTTTCTTTTGGGGGTAATGAAAATGTCCTAAAATTGACTACAGTGATGTTGCACAACTCTGTAAATATACTAAAAGCCGTTGACTTGTCCGTCTTAAGCGGTTGAATTATATGATGTGGGAATGATATCTAATAAAGTTGTTACCAAAAAGGAAGACAGGCAACAAAGCTACCCAAGATGACACAGCCAGGAAAGCAGGAGATGACGGGCCCTGCATCACAGCCCTGGGTGCCTGCTTCCCTAACTGGGTTAGGGTGGCCGGTGGCAGGGAGAGAAGCTCGGCCTCCCTTTCTGCAGGAAGCAGGGCGGCGCGGCCTGCCCACTGCACAGTTTTCCCAGGCCTGGTATTGTACTTGGCGGTGACAGCCTGTGCTGGGAGGTCATGGTGGGTGGAGGGGAGGGAAGGAGGTGGGGGAGGGGCAGAGGCAGCCCACAGTGGTTACCAGGGAGATGCAGCTGAGCTGGGCCCTGCTCTGGCCAGCCAGGCCTCTAGACCCAAGACTGAGTGAGTGGGGCTCCCAGGTCTCATGCAAAGCGGGCAGTGGGGAAGGAGAAAGAGGCAATGATTTTCCAGGGTTACGGTTGCGGGCAGCCCCCCCTCCTTCCCTTCCCCCAAATGGGCCAGGCAGCAGAGGGGGAGGAAAAGGGGATGGAATAACAGCAGCAATAGACATTCATCCCCTCTAGCTCCCAGTCCACAGCCCCACCTACCCAGAGGGGCTCCCAGGGAGAAGGTGCGGAGTTGACCTTCGGGCAGGAGTTGGGGCTGGAGGGGCAGACGAATTAGCCCCCACAAGTGCCAAGAGCGCTGCTCTGTGATCTCCCCTCTCTCCTTCCTCTTCTGGAAAATGGGGATTACAAGAATCCCTCCTCCAAGAGCTTCAGTGAGGATGACATGGGATGGAATGGGGGAAGCAATGGGTAGGTGCTGGGTGAGAGGGTGCTCCTTCCGGACAGGGTGGCTAAGTTGGGCATGGAGAGGAGAGGGAGTGGGCAGAAGGAGAGATCCGCCAGCCAAAGCCGCCCCTTATGCTCATCTTCCCTGTTTCCCCAAGGACTCACCCACACACTAGGTCCCTGCGCTGCCCCTCATAGCTTCTCCTTTCATTTAGTTCCTGCAATAGTCCTTTAAGGCTGGTGCTATTATGACCCCATTTTGCAGATGAGGAAACTGAGGCTCAGAGAGGCTGTCACTCACTCAAGGCCACACAGCAATTAATGTCTGAGCCAGGACTTGAACCAGGGGAATCTGACTCTGGAGCCTTGGAGTGGGAAGTCAGGAGTCCTGGGTTCAGAATCTGCATTGCTACAGACTTGCTGTGTGACCTTGGACAGAGTCTTTCCCTCTCTGGTCCCTGCCAGAGCCCTGGACTTGAAGGAACTGCACAGTGCAGGGCAGCCTGGGAGACCAGGGAGAACGGAACAAGGGGGTGCTGAGCAAGCCTCCAGTTCAGACCCTTTCTCCAGAATATTGCCACAGAAGGGGGCAAGTGAAGACAGGGCTTTTATTGTCTGAATGCTATACATAGTCTTTACAAAAAGTCTTTGCAGGACTTCCCTGGTGGCGGAGTGATTAAGAATCAGCCTGTGGACACAGGGGACACGCGTTTGAGCCCTGGTCTGGGAAGATCCCACGTGCCGTGGAGCATCTAAGCCTGTGGACTACAACTACTGAGCCTGCGCTCTAAAGCCTGCAAGCCACAACTACTGAGACTGCATGCTGCAACTATTGAAGCCCATGCGCCTAGAGACCATGCTCTGCAACAAGAGAAGCCACCGCAATGAGAAGCCCGCGGACAGCAACGAAGACTCAACAGATCCCAAAATAAATAAATAAAATAATTTTTTTTAAGTCTTTACAGAAATTATTTTCCATTTTTAAATTTCCCAGTTGCCCTCAAAGGTTGAAATCACAATTGTTTCCATTTTACAAATGAGGAAGCTGAAGCTCAGAGAGGTTAAGTGACTTGCCCAAAGTCACACAGCAGGTAAGTGACAGAGGCCAGATCTGTCTGAAAGCAAATGGTGCTTTTCCTGAGAGGATAAATTCTGTTCCTGGTTCAGCCAAGACAAGGCTGAAGTTTTCCCAAAAGAACTTTCCCTGAGAAAGGGGAAATAAACTCCAAGAGCAGAGAACTAGATGTGTCTGTAGAACATGTGCTTCGACTCAAACAGAGCTAAACCCTAGCTCCTGAGGAATTCGGTGTGCCCATCTGGGGGCACCTCTGGCCTGGA